CCACGCTAAAGTATGACAGTCGCGGTATTTCAATAACTGTTGACGATACGAAAAATTGTTTCTATGTAAATTGCAGGATAAAATGGGATCTCTATCGTGGCCTCAATCAACATTTTTTTATGTTATTAGGTTGTCCGGAAAGTCTGTGGTCGATTTTTGGTAGGTGGTACAGGTCTGAATATATCGAAATGGTTGAAAACAGATAACATTTATACATCCCTTGAAAGGTGGAAAGGTTGTGGCACAAAATGGCACCTATGTAGTCCAATAAATATATATTAAAATTCAAACGTGTTTATATATATATTGTTTCATAGTTCCACCATTCGGTTTTTCTACGTACATAGGTGACCATTTGTACTACGTACAAAAATGCCCATAAAATGACCCCTCACCTGAATCGTTCCAAGTCGCGTTCACTTAAAACACTTAATTTTTCTATTGTTTACAAACGATCGAACATTTTTATCGATGTCAATTGAATTTACAAGTATGGTACAACTAACAAATTATTGAACTGTTTTTTGGTTGTAATACACCAGTTAAAAGTATGTCGATTTAAAAAAAATTGTCGAGACTGGTTCGGTTTAGACGAGCTCACCTTAATACTTGCTAAGGAATGTAGCTTTCTTGTCGTACAAGCCATTGTAAAAATGTGTATTTTAATGTTTCCGCGCTTCGAGTAACATTTGCATGCGGATGGCTCAGCAGCCACCGGTTTATTAAATCGTGTCAAAAGTAGCTTAGAAGTTAGATATTAGCGCGATGCTCGAGTTAGAATCACTACCTTAATTCGATACGGTGATAACATGATTCGTGCAAATTACATATTTAGATGCTTTCGTTCGTTTGTTTATGAACGCAGCTTTACGCAACACGTGTAAAATCTAGTATAGTAGAATTGCAATCACTGCGTCCTTCGTCAATTTAACAGACATTAGGTACAATTATTCGGTACGTACGAAGTATACGGCAATTTCCGGCTCTTAATTATGAAAAGCTTCCTTGAATCACGTAATGGCGATCAGGCCACCATTATCGTTGTTCATTCGTCGATTCAGTCCATTTCAAGGCGCATCGAACTGGTTTCGATAACACGCGAATAAGTTTAGACAACCCGAGTAATTAATGGCAGACTAGAGAGCACTTTCCATGATGCACAAATAGTGAAAAACAAGCGTAACTCACGCTGCTTCACGGACGTCCTTGCCGCGGCAACTTGGACGAAGCAAGGTGAGTCGTACGCAAACGTGACCCCGATTCAATCAATCGTAAAATACGTAGTTCTCTCTATCTAAACTACGATATGTCGCTTATTATAAAAATATTTGTACCAAGATGCGTTTTAAATACACGGTAATAACTTTGGACACTTTGCCCTAAAAAATATCCTGTAGGATGAAAAGTCCTGTACGATTTCATGGTTTAAAATTGAATGTGTAACTTTAAGTGCTCCATATTACATGACGTTGTACTGCACGTAAATACGCGTTTCGCTTTGTATAAAATTGTTTAGCAGATTTCCTGTATCAACCGAATTTTTTAAAGATCCTGGAAATCGTCGATCTTTCGAAGTAAGCCTAGTCTTAATTAAAGAATTGGAAGCAGTAAACGAATCCGTGGAAAGAGACATTAAATTAACGCCCGACTGCAACCAGGTATTAAATCCCGGCGAAAGAAATACACATCAGATAAAAAAAAAATATAGACTCGGTTGATATTTTCCAAAATGTCATTCAACGACACCACAATTGACCCCTCATCCCAACCTCCTGAGGGTAGGAGAGGGAATTATCTGCAATTCGTCAATAGAAAACCCCAACTCAACATTGTATTTGTGGTATTGTTGAATGGCATTTTTGAAAATGTCAACCGAGGCTACATTTGTTTTTTTTTTTATCTGATGTGTATTTCTCGAGCTGTTCCCAATTTTCAACGATTTTTTGCTCATTTTGATTTATATCTATTATAGCGCCATCTGTGAGCCAAAATGCAAAAATTCCTCGGTCAAATTTATGTATTTTTTTCTGGACAATCCAAATCTCCGATGAAAAATGGGGGTTTCCATTTATGTTTTTTATTTTCCCCCACCGCCACCTCCTGGGGGTGAGTTTGGTATCATTGAATGTCCCCTTTCGCAAACGAACAACCGTCATTACCCACTTGTTTTGATCTGATGCATAGTTCTCGAGATATTTCAATGTCTTCAGATAAAATGATCAGCCTGTATAATAAACGATATATTTAAGGCGGTCAAGATACGTGAAATACCCTGTATGTAGCGTTAGAATGCGAAGGTTCCCAAAGCGATATTCTATGTAACGTACGGAACCCAACGGACGCATAAAGTGACTCGTATTACTGGATCGTACGTATTTTAGAACTGTTATTCGAGCGTTATCTTTGACTCCACATCGTTCACGAAATTCCGCGTCCTGGAACAAGTGCTAGATTTTATCTACAGGAATAAAGATCACTGGGTTTCCGGAGCAAAAATGTTATCGTCGCAGTAAAAACGGAACTTTTCAAGTTCCTTAAGAGGAGTGGGGGCATCCCTCTCGTGGAAATTGTGTCGGTTTAGCGCGCGACGATAATTATTAAACTGTTCTCCAAGCTCTTGCTCTTTTCTAGTATTCAATTTTGTTTACATATTTACAATAAAATGACGGGAGTAGCGAGAATAAATAAAAAATTGATTTTGCAACTACATACTTGATCACTTGCGCAATATTTGGGATATAATGTAAATGGGACTTAGGACTTTGATTTTTTATAACAAAATACGTCGTGCCGTTGAACCAATTTTTATAGAACCAATTACAAAATCAAAGCGCGCAGAAAACAAGCAAGTGAATCTAATTTTTTCATCTTAGATAAATGTACACATGATTACTATTAATCGCGAAGATTGTTATCGAATCGAGTTGTGCGTAAAGTTGAGTTCCCGTCCGTCGGTCATCGAAAATTTAAAAAAAATAATGAAATGTACGGTGGTCACGGTGACCGTTTGGAATTATCGGGATCCGATTATGGTATTCCAGGTATATACTTAATGCGACAATCTCGTCAAAGACTTTTAGAAAACAAACAAGAGAGCATTTCCTGAAGGAGCGCTCGTGTGAAGGAAGCAAAGCTCGAGGTCTTAGCGCAAAGCACTCGAAAGATGCACCCTCAGTCATTGTCCTCTTCTTCTTCGCCTGCTTTCCTCCTCTTCTTGTTCAGAAACGCGTCGCAGCTACACGGATAACTGCGTAACATTGCGGCAACAAGGAAGTAGCTGTTGTATTCTCTGAGAATTACCGTTTTAAGATAAGGTGCAGGGCTGCATTAAGCCATGCACTTTAGGGTCTACAGCTCAAGGGCCTCCCTACGTTGGAGAAAGCGATGTCTCCGGAGATTACGTGAAAAATTATGCTGTTCGTGAGTACTGAATCCAAGTATGTAAACGGTTTTCCGAGAAAGGTTTCATGATTTCGTTTTTTTTTTTTTTATGAAACGTTAAAATGCTATTGAGTACAGCAAATTTGTATAAAGTATTTATACAGCTAATGATTTCAACAAAATGTTTGTATAACTTTGTTTATTATTTAATTTTTTTTTATATGAACAATGTTTACATGTTTAAATAAATTTCCATAACAAATTGTGTACAAATGAAATGAAATTACTTGCATCTTATATAAAAACATGAACAAAAACTCAAAAATTTATAGAAATATATGGGTAATAAATATTGGTACATGTTTGTCAAGAAGACAACAAATTTAATGCATAACCCTAAGAAAAGATTAATTGCTTAGCTATTGTAATAGTTAGTGGGATTACCTTTATACGGTATAATCGCTTTAAGTCTTCGTGGCATTGAAGATAGTATAATTTATTAGCCATTGTAGTATTGAAAATTTTATTCTACGTTCAGATTTACATTATGTAGAATTTCATGAATCAGGAACTGTACGAATACATATTACGTATACATTTCTATCGATTTCTGCGTTCCTATTTATATTTTTTATAAGTTGCAAGTATTAGGTTGTTCCAAAAGTTTCTTTCGTAATTTGCACTCAATTATTTTGTGCGATAGTGTTTATATAAATAGACAATCTAATTTCTTAGATATTGATGTTGTAACAGTAATGGAGCAAAATGAATCGTACACAATTCAATAATGTAACATTAGACATAAAATATTGCGTACGTATTACTTGTTAATAAAATGGAAGAAACTTTTGGGACAACCTGATACATTAATTTTATTTATATATCATTTGTTTTATAGATTTTTTATATTTCATACTACGGTGTCATAAAAGTATTAAATTAAAAACCATTGAATTTTATATTAAAAATGTATTCAATGTCTCTTATGATTTCAGAGTCACTAGCAAAAGTACAAATAACCAGAATTATTTCGAAGGGGTGTTTTCACTCTTAAAGCCGTTTCTAGGCCGAAGTAGAAAGGGGCGCTTTGATTAAGTTTCCATGAACTTTACTTCTAGAAGTTCAAATTTTTCGGCATGTGTCGATTGCCAAGCCCTTGTTAGTTAAATATTTCAATTATCAAGACTCTTAGGTAGGTACCATCAAATATTAACCCTTCGCGCTCGAGGCATTTTTCTACAGAATCAAATCCAGTCCATTTTTATAATAAATTTCTGTGGAACCAAAAACTCTACTTCGAAGAGAAACATCTACGAACGTTCATGACTCAATGTGTTATTATTTCAATTAATAATTAGTTGCATTCTGATATAAATGAAATTGAAATTGTACGTTCGCAAAATCGCTTTTAAATTACGTATGTCGCCCTAGAGGCGCCACCCGAGCGCAAAGGGTTAACAAAAGATATTTCTTCCTAACATCTCTTTTTCCCACCACTACCCTGGATATTTTCTCAATTATTTCTATCGGACTAACAAAGACTGACATTCTCACGTCACCCTACGACACTCGCGTAACGACCTAATTAAAAGAGCTTGAAATTTGTTCACACAACCTACCTCGTCAATCGTCTGGAAAGCGTAGGATCCACGGAGCAGGACGTCTTCAGGGTTGTTCGACGATTCCGTCTGGACGTATAATTAGGGGCGGCACCTGCAAGACACCCGTAAACGACCACCAACGCGACAACGTGTTGCTTTTATATATCGGCCAAGCAAAACGGCGAGTTTCGGTCGGATTTTTCGGTTACGAATTTTTTTAGATACTCGCTTTCCGTTTCTGGCCGGACACACGGCCGCGTTTTACGAGTTCACCGACTCCGTGAATCGCGATCTACTATCAGAATGAAGGCTTTTCTTAAGGCCGACTTGTACTTATGTCGCTGCCCCCACTATGGGGGCCCAACGGGCGCCCGCGAGTTCTCCTCAAGTTGTTGAACGTTGGTGGCCCGAACAACTATGCCCCCCTCCCTGAAGATAGAAAAGGAAATACGTGCCGGGACAGACGACATACTTTCGACGATTCACTCTTGCCTGGACACTTCCCTAGCTAAGCGACACTTTTGCTCATGCGGATCCTCAATTCTGTCGCGAGATTCTATTCATCACTTCGTCTCTCACGGTGCCCGTAGAATTGTGGTTGAAGACCACTCAAACAACCTCTCGCGCGTAGCGACAGGATTGATACGGTATTTATTGGTCGTGTTCGAGTAACGCGATGTTTGAAGCTCCAGGATATAGCGAAGGGAAGCACGAAACCCTTTACTCGATATGATGTTTTTTGAACTGGTCAACCCGCTAGTACATGTTATTCGGTCGCACCCTGTATACTTTGTTGATTGATACAAATTTTCGTGCCCTTCTTGACAACTAATGTTTCAATCTACTTAAAAGTACACCAGTGACAAATATCCCACCAAAGATTTACAGTCCCTGGCTGTCAAATTAGGACCACTACAAATTTGAAGCATTTCCCGCGTTCTCCGTAAAATTAAAAGGCTTGTTGAAATTGTGTTGATATATTGGGTTGTCCAGAAAATTCACGCCAATTTTTAAGAAAAATTCAAAGGTACATTTGAAGTTTGATGTACTCTTTTAAGTGAGTACAGCAGGATATTCTCGGAAGATGTTGTAGTTATTAAAAATCTGTTCCTACAAAAGTTGTTTGGTATGACGGGCTACATCATGTAGTAATAATTGTTTTTTTTTTGTGGCTGGAGTAATAGAGGAGATCTGGAGGTCAATGTAATTTTTTTAAATGGAATGCTATACTTAGTATACAAGAATATGGTAGAGTATCGAATTCTAAATAAAAATGTGTTGACCTTTATTAGCCCTAAACCTAATAGGTAACGAGTAATTTTACTTTATTACTTGAACATTTTCTTAGGCATAAAAGTGAAATTTCCGTGCATGGTCCTAATTCGACGGGCAGGGACTGTATAACTCATTTACGAAGTTTATAAATTTATGATAGACAACATCAACGAAAGATCATTAGAATAATGCTAGAAATACATGTTAAAATTGTGTAAAAAATTGTGTAAAAAATTGTGTAAAAACATGTTTTCGACCGCGTAATTGGGACCGCTTAAACTGAGACTAGCATAAATCAAGCGATTATTGGCGGTGTATAAAAAGTATCACGTAAATTGTGAGACCAGTTAATTAGCTTCAGGTCCTAGTGAACCTAAATTCGTCTCTAGTTCGACGCGGGATGCTTGTTTACTACGTCCGGTGTCGTTACGGTGTTAATCCCATCGCTATGGTCGCACGCACAACTGTGCAGTTTTTGCTAACGAATCCGTCTCACGACGCGCGGGTGACTGATCCGTGCTCAATGGAAAGAGATTCAATCAGACATTTTTTTAATCGTACGCAACTAAAAACACCGCGATGATTTCTTTTACTTCTTATTCGTTGTCTACGAGAGAATTCTCGCCAGCAAGATTCACCACGGTTCATCTTAAACGGTAAACCGATAACACGGACAACAATCGGATAATTGAATCCCCGCCGCGAAAAATGATCGATATTCCAATAATATTGAATCGTTATGATTTTTTATTTAGGTGTTACATATTGATGGTCGAATTGATGAAAAAAAAAGGAGAAGTTATAATATGATATACATCCTTTTACACAAGTGGAAAGTACAGTTTACAAACAAGATTATATATGCAGGGTGTTATAATTGTCTGCACGAGTTTTCGGGGATTTACCATAATTTACGAGAATAAAATTTGAAACAAGAGTTAATTAGTTTACAGTCGGCTACGAATTTCAATGTAAAAAATCCTCAAGGTGTGATTAATTCCAATACGATTCTGGGTATAAATATTGGACCGTCTGGAAAGTCCATGTCGGAATGGCTGAAAACAAATAACGTGTGTACATTCCTTAAAAAGTGGAAAAGTTGTGGAACAAAATGGTACATATATAATTCAATAAAAATATACATCAAAATTTAAATATGCCTTTGAATTTTTCTTAAAAATAGGCACGAACTTTCCGGACACCCAATAATTGAAATATTTCCCAGAATAATTCTTTCCAGTTTTAAAATTGCTTTGTTTAAATGAAAATATTTAAGTATCCCTGTTATCCATGAATACAGGAAAAAGATTAGTTCAAATTAAAGTTGAATGATTAATATAATATTAACCAGCATATCTTCTCTCAGAGTTAATTTTCCGTATTCCAAGGTTATTGATTGCCTTCTAGTAAATTTCTACTTATCTATATAGAGAACGTATAAAGCCATACTGAACAATATATAACAAGGAATAATAACAATGTACAACAACATAAGAAAAAATCGAGTTTGAAAGATGACAAATTTTCGAACACCGCGCGGAGCACGTATCGTCCTACCAAATGGCACAATTTTAAGGGTTGTTCTAAAAAAGATTGTCACTAAAAACAGTTATCGTTCATCATATTTCTCGTAAATCGTCTTGGCGATATAATGTTGACGAAATAAATCCGATGGTTCATTTCCGTCGAACTCAGCCGACACGCGTTTTCTTCCTTAACTTGCGTTCTTCACGGTCGATAGTTGAGCGCGATCCGCGATCAGAAAGCCACTTTTCATTGATTCGTTATAACACGGTTGCTCGAGGCAATCCTCGTTTTACTTATCCCCGTCGCGTTCACCTCCTATTCCACGCTGAAAACACATTCGCTTTCGATTTAATGGTTATTGAATGCAATGATAAACACAGCTCAGGTTTCGGCTATCTCGTTACTCGCGATTCTTTGATAAAGGAATTTAAAGTGATGTAAGCACTAACCAAATATAGACATTCAGGAAATATGACCACCGTTGTTCGAGAGTTTTGAAGATTGCTGTAAATGTTGGTTCTTGTGACTGTAATAGTTGTTAACGATACTGTAAATGGAGTAGTGCTTTGCGTACTCGTTGAGCCTTGAAACGGACGTACTGTAGAGTTTCCATAAATGCACGAACTCGGCACTGAACTAGTGCATTTGTGGTAGACTTCGCACATTCCCTGATGTTTGTCGAGAAATTTCGAACGTAGAGGACAGCGAATAAAGGTAAAGGACGGAGCAAAAACACCAGGGTATACCAGTGAAACAATGTAATGCAACGGTGAAACTTTTTTATTATTAACTTTTTTGTTGTAAAACTTTTACCATCATATTCCTGGCATCCTTTTTAATCAAAATGAGACCAAACACGGCATTATTCGGACGATATTTACCATGCATTTTTCTTTTAGTTAGTGTTCTACGATACACGATCAGAGGTAGGTACTATTTGTGGAGAAAATATTTTAAAGACTATTTTAAATAATAGATTCTTCAGAACTCAAATAAAATAGTATTTCAAATGGGATATACAATTTTCTGGAAATAAAATATTTTATTTTGGCAATGTATAGTTAAAGCATGAAAATAAATATTTTATTTTGATAATCTAACACATAAAATAAAATATGTTTCGTTTTAATAACATGAAGCATAAAATAGAATACTTTCCACAGTTCTTAACTTGAAAATAAATTGTGTATGTACGATACACAGATGGAGAAACTATTTCTTGCAAATATTATGATTTCTTGCGATTGAAGGATATCTCTTTCCATCACTCGTTTTATGAAGTCTTCTATTGAAGATTTTTAATAGAAGTATTCATTGAAGAACTACATTGAATGTATGTTTATAATGCAGAGGAAAAGTACTTCGTTCGTTTTAGATGACTAAAATAAATATATTTTACACTATAATTTAGTAAAAGAAATTAAATAAATAAAATTTTATATCTTTTTAGTGATATACATATTGTACAAACATTGCTCGTATTACTCATAGACATGTATCCATATTATCTTGATAATAGGAACAAACTGGAACTATTATATGCTCTTATTATATACACATCTTCTCGCCACGGCTGTCGGTACAAAGAAAATTACATTACATGATACATAAAGCACAAAAGCATGCATACAAATCCAAATAGATATCTTTTATCATCTTTTATTATGTAAAATAAACTTTACTGTCTGAATTCGCGCGACTTGCTATACTATCTCCGCAGGTTCTTATATTGTATAGCACACTTATGCACCGTGTAATCTTGTGGCGGTTTCCAGCAGCAAGAAGCACGTATGTTACGTTGGATTGGTTATCAGCTCGCGTGAAATGGCTAGTTGCAGGGGAGGAGCTGGATCGCTGCAAAACGATGAGCCGATTTTCTGCGAAATAGAACAATAATGTCGATCTGCAACGCTTTCTAAATACGCTTATTTTCCTTTTCATGAATATCGATGGATGACTTTGACTTTTGTTTGCAAATTAATTAGAGTTGATTAGAAATCGAACGATTTTCGACACATCGCTCATAAACGATACTTATTTGTTACTTTTATATCCCACGTAAGCATGTGAAAGTTCATCTTCATTCGTTGGCTAATTAAACAGTTATAATTTCTTGAAAAAAAGATAGCGCGAAACTTTAAACAGTTGTAAAACCGACAATTTTTAAAATGTTTAAAAAATCCTTGAGGTACGTTCAAAAATCATTCAAAAATTACACGTCCAAATTTCGTTAAAATTGTAGGCGCTACTCCAAAAAGTGTTCTATTTCGCGTGGAATGACTCGAACGAAACTTGCAAGAAAAGTTACATCAGGAGTTACAAGATGTTTTACATATTTTATAGCTCTATTAAAAAATTGTTGAACGAGCAATCTCAATTTTAAAAATTATACAAATAGTTCGCGAGTAAGTTTATAAGCGTACATTTATTTCTCATTGTGATCCAATCAAACATAACATGGTCG